ATAAAATAGTCAGAAAATTAAAATGTCAAAACCCAACCCACATTCCAAACAAACTCTAAATTAGCTTTGTTTAATAAATTTTTTTGATTTTTTTTTTGTTTAAATGTAATGATCACAAAAAAAATAAAATAATTATAATTTAAATGTGATATTTTATCTAAATTAATTTTTTTTTTAAAAACTTATTTAGCCACTTTCACCCTTTCCAAAACAAGCCCACGGTGTTGTGGCAATGTTTATAGCACAGTATGGTGGTGTTTGACAAGTGGTTGGCAAGTGATTTTGGGGCTAAAATAGTTACAAAAAATAAAATAAGTTATTTTAGCCATAACGAATAAAATATCACATCCAAGCCATAATCATTACACTCTTCTCTCACAAAAAAAGTCAAAAAAGCTAAAAAATTAAAAAGTCCTTCCCAAACCAAACTTTTTATCTCAGGCTAAAATAGCCAAAAAAGTCAAAAAGACAATCCACTTTCCAAAATGAGGCTTTATTTATTATTTTTTATTTATAAAAAAGGGTTGTTGGTTAGGACTTTTTGGCTAAAAAAAAAAATATGAAAGACAAAATAGCTTAAATAAGGGTTCGTTTGGGAAGAAAAAGTCACTTTTTGGTTATTTTTGTCACAAAACAAACAAAATAGATTTTTTTAACTCAATAAGATAAAATATCACATCTAACCTATAATTATTACATTTTTTCTCTCATAAAAATAAAAAAAAGTCAAAAAGTATATCCCAAACGAGATTTTTTAATTCCAGACAAAAAGTCAATAAATCAAAAAATCAAAAAGTCAACCCACATCCCAAATAAACCCTAGATTAATAAGACAAAATGTCACATTTAAACCATAATCATTTTAGTCAAAAAAAAACCAAAAAAATAAAATCAAACAAACTTTTTAATCCTAAGTTAAAATAGCAAAATATTCAACTAAAAAAACTAATTGCCAAATGGCAACTAAATATATTTATATTTATTTTGGATAAAAATAAAAATAAAAATAAGGGATTATGACAGATGATTGTTGACGGTCAGAGATAATGACTGGTCAACTACATAAAGTGGTAATTGAAGATTGTTTTTAAGAAAATGTAGTGGATGAAAGTGATTACTGCTAGTAAGAGATAGTTTGTCATGATAACATGTGATTAGCGATTCAGAGAGATGGTGGTCGAAGGTTGTTGACGGATGACGTCATTGGCTATGATAACTGACAGCAACAAAAGTAAGGTGGGGATAAGTTAATTTTGTAACTTCAAAAATAAAAATTTATGTAACAAAATTATAAATAATAATTTATAATTGACGAGTGAAAAGATGTAATATGATAAATAAAATAGTGAAAATGAATATTAAGTATAATATTAAATATTTTAATTTTATTATATTAAAAAAATTAATTATATACATCTAATATACATAAATATATAATAAATAAAATCGAGGTAGAGCCAAGGTGGATCAAGGCGGGGAGAGTAAAGGGTGATAGTTGGAAATAGTGGGAGAAAGAAGAAAAAAAAAATTTTTTGAACGGAAAATGAAATCAACTTTTTTGTGTTTATAAAATTTAAATTTTGTAAATTATTCATAATTTTTTGAAAATAAAAACAAAAACAAAACGAGTTTTTGTTTGTAGTTTTAAATTTTTTCATAAAAATAAACAAAAAAATAATAAATATAAACATTACCAAACATGTCCGTGTTCATTATTTTTAATAAATTTATTTTTTAAAAATTTTCTCAATTTATTTTTTTTTTTTGAACTTTTTAAATATATCTACTTAAGACGGACTTTAAAAGTAAAAAAAATTTAACATAATTTTACTAATCATCATTTGTATTTGTGAGGATTGTGGAGGAAAGAATTGTCTGGATAAAACATTTTTCTTTCTAAAAAAAATAACAACAGCGCTACATACACCCAGTGGGGGTCGCGCCCCCAGTGACGTGGCGCGCCCCCACTGGCTGAAAACTTAAAAAAAAAAAAAAATAATTTAAAAAAAAAAAACAGTTTTTTTTTTGCACCAATCCGGGGCCGACACCTCACTGGGGGTCGACCCCCAGTGGGGGTATGAAGCATAAATCAAAAAATAATGGTCCGCCTCTATTTCGTGCTTCAAATGATACAATTACCGAAAAATCCATAGTAGACACATTCTTATCATAATATATATACTAGAAGGATGAACATACGTGTGTGCGCGTAATTTTTTATAGATTAAATTTTTTTGTAATTTTTGTTTAATATTTGATTAATAATAATTTATATTTCTTTTTTGATATATTTTATTTGGTCATTTCACTATTTTCATTTTCTTAAAAATTGTAATTTTTTTATCCCTTATGGATTAATTTTTTATGTAATTTTTGTTTAATATTTGATGGATTATAAATTGCACCCCTCTTTTGGTAACATTTTATATTTGATTATATGATTTTTTTTTCTTTTTTATTGGATAATGGCTGTTTGAGTAAATTTTTATACTAAAATTTTCAGTAAAAGAAACAACTTAAAGTGTATTGAGATGCAGTACAATTGAAATACCAATTGTAAAGAGAAAAAAATAACTCAGCATTTGTTTGGGATGTGGGTTGTTTTTTAACTTTTTGACTTAACCCAGGGCTAAAAAGTCTCATTTGGGATGAAATTTTTGACTTTTTTATTTTTGTGAGAAAAAAAATAAAATGATTATAATTTTGATGTGACATTTTATTTTATTGATTTTTTAGCCAATTTTATATTTTTGTGACTAAAATAACCCCAAAATGACATGTCAAACATAGCCTCAATGTTCTTTATCAAATTTAAGGGCAAATTACAAACACCTCCCTCGAGGTTTGGTGAAAATACAAATTCCCCCCTGAGGTTTGAGAAATTACAAATTGCCCCCTGATGGTCAAATTTTCATAACAAATTAGGAAAAATTAGGGGGAAATCTGTATGAAAATAAAAATCTTAAGGGGCAATTTGTTATGGAAATATAAACTTCAGGGGGCGGGATGTAATTTTTCAAACCTCATGGGGGAATCTATATTTCACCAAACCTCGAGGGATGTGTTTGTAATTTGCCCCAAATTTAAATATACAAATCATGCTCTTAATGTAGCCAACAAATAAAAGCCTTGCAATACTTTTACCTTATAGGAGAAGTGCATCAAATCAAGGCATCTCCCTTGACGAACATTTTTTCTGTTGTAGAACTCAAGCCAATCTGCAGATTTGATTATTAAATCATATTATGTGCTCTTTTTTCCTTTCCTTTTAAACTCTATCTCTCCACCCAATGCAGTAATAGATTATGATATGTGTCTATGACTCCTTTCCTTCCTCTAATATTTTCTCTATGGACTGGGTTTCTCTCCAGTCCGTGATTAGATTAGAAGATACTATTGGGTCCGTGGAGGCCCACCATGGGTCTCGTTTCGATAATCCGAACCGTTCAATGTGTAGAACTCGTCGAATATTATATATCTGTAAAAAATCACATTGATCGGATATCAATAGCTATCTTATTGGATCATATTTCTGTCAACCGTTTTTATTTTTTCACCGTTCATTTTTTTATATATATAAAATTGATTTGATTACGTAGCTATCAACATCCGATCGACGTGATTTTTTATAAGCATATAGTACTCGACAAGTTCTACACATTGAATAATACAGATTATCGAAATGGGACCCGTGGTGTGCCTCCACGGGCCCAACAGCATCCTCGAGTCCGATCATGGACGGGAGAGAAGTCAACCCCTTTCTCTATAATGTCTATATAAATGTGTATGTATATATATCAACATATTGTTGTATATGTTTGAATTGAGAGAGAGAAATGAAGTTACAAAGATGAGGAAGAAAGGAAGTTGAGTGATTTTAGGGTGTGGTTCTGTAACTGTTTGTTCCCATTAGAGAGTAACAGACATTTAAGTAAAATTTGAGTATTTTTTTTTTTAAATTATGTAAATGCCGTGTGACAAAAGTTTTAAGAAACCAACATAGGGGCTCACTTAATACAATAGAATATATATATATATATATATAATATATATATATATTATGATAGTGTTTTTAGGTCACATTTATTTGGCTCCATAAGATGGAGAGAATTAAGAATATACTGAGATTAAGGTGGTATTTGTTTGGACTTTTTTGAACCAACTTATACCTTTTAGCTTTAGAAAAGTTATTTCAAACAGATTCTGATTCTAACAACTTATTTTAACTCAAAAAAGCTGATTCTGAGAAGTTGCTCACCCCTTGCTTCTAATTATCAGCTTCTGCTATGGACATGTTAATTTACGGTTATACTCTTACATTTTTTTAAAAAAAAAAATATAAAAAGACCCAAATGGACTATAGATTATTATTATTATTATTTATTAGAAATGTAGACAAGTAGTGAATAACAAAAAATTAAAACTAATTGAAAAAGTTACTTCACAACTTATTTAACAAACACTACTTAGCAACTTAAATCTATAATCCAACAACTATACCAAACAGATTAACAGTTTCTGATTAAATTCATAATCTATAATCTATTAAGCTATAATCTATAATATGTTTTAACAGTTACACCAAACGGGCCCTAAGTAAGGGGATTATTAGGTGGTGATATTAAGTTAGAGATGCATGATAAAAAGTGTTTATTTATATACCATAGGATTAGTAATAC